CTCATAATTACTTTATTGGTTCTCTAAGTAAAATAATAGGGAGAGTATCCAGTTGACAAATGACAACACTAGTTTCGACTGTTAACTTTCAATTCTTAAGTCTTAATAACACTTCTCACAAAAGCGCAAAAACACCATCCACGCAGTGTAGCATAAAAAACAACATTATCGCGATATCTTAAAGATCCTCAAGTCCAAAGTGAAAAATACCCCTGAATGCTCTGAAAACGACAAGGGGAATCTCCAATTTGCATTGAATGATCTGTCATCCGGGGTTCAAATGGGGTAGTGATGCGTAAAATATGACGCTGCATCCTGTTAGCGTCACTAGCCTCTCCTACTCAATTTCAACTCTTACCTCCACGCGGTGAACTCTGGTAACCTGACCAACTCTGTGGAAGATTGTGGTAACCAACGCCAGTGGGAAGCAGAGTCAGGGCAAACGAGAGTGGGAGAAATGGTCCTTCGAAGATTAGGGGGTTGGGCAAAAGTTTAACGACCTCTTCCCTTAAAAAAATTCATTGTTATGAAAGCACAAAGAGGAAAAGCCGGACTGTTTAATTCACGACGACCTAGCAAACGACAATGGAATAACGATTTACGGATATGCACATGGAATGTACGAACCCTTTATGCCCCAGGTGCTCTTAGACTACTAACACCAGAACTTGATAAAATGAAAGCCGATGTAGTAGCGATTCAAGAGATGAGATGGACTGGTTCAGGAATCATGCATGATAGATGCAAGGCACTCTTCCGATCTCATAGACGTCAGAAGCTACCGAGGCCCAAACATTGACAGTGACCACTTTCTTGTAATGGCAAAAATCAGAGGAAGAATATCAAACCTAAAGAAAGATAAACACATGAAACAAGACAGAATTAATGTTGATAATCTGCGCATTGAAACCGTTGCGAGAGAGTATAGGAGACAAATGGATGAGGAAATGGAGAGCCTGGAGGTGGGGGAAAATGTAGAGGAACTGTGGACAAAATGTAGAAAAATAATAACTGAGAAAGCAACAAAAATATTGGGGAAAACCAAACCAGTTAAAGAAAACGAATGGTTTGACAAGGAGTGCCAAGAAGCAACAGATAACAAAAACAGGGCATACCTAAAGACCAATCTAGCTGGATGCACAAGAAGAGCAAAGGAAGAATACCGGACACTAAGAAGAGAAGAAAAACGATTACATAGAAGAAAAAAAAGACAATTTGAGCAAAAGCAGTTGGAAAGCACAGAATGGCTAAGAAATCAAAATGAAACTCGAAAGTTCTACAGAAATTTAAACAAAATACGCAAAGAGTTTAGGCCAAGAATACGGAGCTGTCAATATGTAAAAGGAAACATCCTAAATGATACGGCCTCAATCCTAAACAGATGGGTTGAATTTTTCGATGCAAAATTTAGCAAAATTTAGCAAATCGAAATGATTGGAATCCTTTCAACCCAAACGAAACACCACCTACCATCGAAAACGTTGCCCAAGCCATTAAAAAGCTTAAAAATAATAAATCACCAAGAGTTGATCAAATTTGCAGTGAGCTCTACAAGAATGGTGGCGATGCCCTACTACAGACACTGCATAAGCTTTTACTTCTTGTTTGGCATAATGAGACCATGCCCTGTGAATAGTCTCAAGGCGTGATATGCCCGTTACATAAAAAAGGTGACCAGCTCCAGTGTGACAACTAGAGAGGTATAATCCTGTTAACAACTGCTTACAAAATACTAGCAAATATTCTCTACGAAAGGTTGCAAGTTTACACAGTGGGCATAGTTCGTAAATATCAAGCTGGATTCACTCCAGAAAAATCAACAATTGACCAGATTCATTCAATAAGACAGATTCTCGAGAAAACATTAGAATTCAATATTGAAACCCATCACCTATTCGTCGACTTCAAGGCCGCATACGACAGTGTCAAGAGAACAGTGCTATACCAATTAATGCATGAGTTTGGTATACCAGAGAAACTTATCCGACTAACGAGAATGACAATGTCTAACTTAGAAGCCACTGTTAGAATACAGGGAGAGAGTTCTAGATCCTTTGAGATAAAGGATGGACTCAGACAAGGGGATGCTCTGGCTTGCCTCCTATTTAATATTGCCTTAGAAAAGGCAATCCGAGATACACGAATTAGGGATGGCGGTACTATTTACAATAGATCGATACAAGTCCTAGCATATGCTGATGACATTGACATAGTAGGGCGTAGCAAGCGAGATGTTGAGCAATATCTCCTAGAATTGGAAACAGCGGCGAGACAGGTCGGTCTAGTCATCAACGAAGACAAAACCAAGTACATGTTGGTTACAAAGGATCCGATAGCAAATGAGGAAAGAGAAACAATCTTTGGAAGTTATACCTTTGGACGTGTTGACAACTTCACATACCTTGGGTCGCTATTGACTGCTACCAATAAAACAAGCGAAGAAATCAAAAGACGAATAAATCTTACAAATAGGGCATACTATGGACTCCAAAAGCATTTCCACTCAAGAAACATTCAAAGAAGAACTAAAATTATTATATACAAAACATTGCTGAGGCCGGTCCTCACATATGGAGCAGAAACATGGACTCTAACGCAGAAAGATGAAAGATTTTTGGGAATATTTGAGCGTAAAATACTCCGCAAAATATTTGGAGCTGTAAACGACCAAGGGCAGTGGCGCAGAAGATATAATTTTGAATTGTATCAGCTCTTTGAGGAGCCAGATGTCATAACGTTCATTAAAACACAGCGACTTAGATGGGCTGGACACATAATACGAATGCCAGAAAATACCATTGTTAAAAAGCTAACCACAGGAACACCTGTAGGAAAAAGAAGCAAAGGCCGACCGCGAATTAGGTGGTTAGATGGAGTGGAAACCGACTTACGAATATTAAAAATCAGAAGATGTCAACATCTTGCCAAAAACCGAACAGAATGGCGACGAATCTTAGAGCAGGCCAAGATCCACAGAGGATTGTCGAGCCAAAGATGATGATGATCTGTCATCCACCATGGCAAATATCCTTTGCGAATTAGCTTCTAATACTACAAACAAGTAAATAACCAAAGCAGAAAGACGTTTGAGGTGTAATTCAACATTTGTTGAAATTTATTATTTTTTCTTTAATGATTTTATTCTATTGACGATATAATTTTTTACATTATGTATATAATGCTTTGCCCACGCTGAGCTTCTTTATCGCTACATAAATGGCTCCCACCAGTGGAGTCTGATCTTCTTTTTTTGTTCGTTACATCACTTACACCAGATAATAAAGAAAAAAACAGGTAAATTACTTAAAATCAAGAAGAAAGAACATAAGGTATTTTGACTTTTTTTTTTATTTTTGTAATTAAATTCGTAATTTTAAATAAATTAATTTTGTTTTATTTTCAGCCCCTCTTTAATCAATTGTCCAATCTATGGACTAATCTGCAACACCAGGTAATACTATTATCCAGATACAGTACTATTGTTTCGAATTTAGAAAACTATTCAAAGTCGATGGAATTCAATCAAACCTTCTTCGACGACTTATTACGAACACAAGTTAATGACGAAAACCGAATAAGGGAACGTACGAGTGTTTGCCTTATTCCAACTTCAACTATTGCGATTTTCTTAGGGGAAGAAGACAATGGATCCGATGAAAATATTATAGATCTCGACAGTATAGATTATGAGGTAAATATACTTTAAATTTAAATAAATATGGAGGAAAGTATCAGACAATTAAACAAAAACTTATTCAATTTAATCTTCTATACAGTAGAACCTCTTTAAGTCGAATTTCGATTAACCGAAGACTACCAAAAACTTAAAAAAATCTTTGGTTCTATTTGCTTCAAGCCCTAAAAACTTCATTACTTGAAATCTTAACCCTCTATTATTCGAATTAAGTAGTGAGACTCTGCAAACCATTTTGGAACATATTTTCTGTTTATAACTCGAAACGATTCAGTTTTAAGAGCTTCATGCCACATTTCCATAACTGCATCGTCACTGTATTCACTGCATCGTCACTGTATCCACTGCATCCAACATAATTCCTTAGAACACACGAAAAAAGAGAACACTTCCACCTTCTCCCAACATCTTGCACAACATAAACATACCCTCAACATCCCAGAAGACGTCTCTTTGTTACATAATATCCCGCAAAAAATTTTTCTAAAATTAGATCTATATGAAGACTTGGAAATAGTCAAAGAAAAGCAAAGTAGCCCCAATTGCGTCAATCGTCATGTATCGTTCAACCGGGACTTTCAACCCTTACATCGACAACTCTTCTCATAGTCCACGCTTCACAATATTGCCTTACTTTCTTTGCCCGTCTATCCTATACAAACTTCAACACCTTTAATCCTATACAATATTTGTGTTTCTTTAAACAATCTTCCTCTACAATATTGCCACACCTTCACCTCAAAAAAAATTTTCGACCCCATTGTTAACTTCAGAACCATCCATATCTATCATAACAAAATATTTCAACAATTTTCTCCACTCTTCACATCCACATCACATTCATATCCATTCTTTTCTCTTTCATTATTTCTTGGTCAACTCATTTATCAAACATGTACTCAATATTTTTAACTATTTATTCTCTCAAACATTATCTAACATTTTATCAAAATTCATATTATTTGTACTTCTTCAAACAACCAGTCTCTAAACTTTTTCCACTCCTTCCCTTCATCTCTTTGCGACCCTAGTGTTAACTTTATAACCACCCACATCTATTATACCATAATATTTTATCATTTTCTTCACTCTTCACATCTACATCACATTCCTGTCCTTTCTTTTCTTTCATTATTTCTTGGTCAATTCATATATCTATCATGCACTCAATAGTTTTAAAGTCAGTAATCATTCAAACATCATCTAACTGTTTTTCAAAATTCATATATTTTTCCCCTAATAAAAAAATCCTTATCCAACATTGCTCACCTTCTTTTGATCAACAACTAAGTAACATATTCATATTTCAAATTTTAGATTTTTACAAACCGAATTTATTACTACTAAAATACATTTTGTTCAGGGTGCTAGATGCTTCAAGCATAAAGGACCCCTATTATCTCTAATTGTTGATTAACTCCTTTTCTCCTTTAACCATCCCCTCCTTCTTCAGTAATTTTCTCTACTATTTCTCATCAAGTCTCTGAGGAGCTCAGCCTCTTCAATTTTAAATTAATCACATAGGTTATAACTCTGATTTCTTCAGCCTGTAGATTTTCAATTTACCAAACTTGTTTTCATTAATTTCTCACCATACTAACAGTCTTAAAAAGTCATTTAAATACAAGGTCTTATATTAGCTTCAAATATTTACTATTAAAAATTTTTACCTGTCCTAGATGTGATAAACATAAAAGGATAATTTTCATATATATAAGCTAATCTAACATAAAATACACTTTTAGACCATATTCCATACGACAAAAATCAACATAGGTTGCCTAATACACAGGTCATCCTCTCAAACATGACTTTAACACCATTGGTGATTTCACATCGATTATAACCCAAATTTTAAATCCCAACACCTATATTGCTGTTATTATTTTTAAAATCATCAAAAATAATTTTTGAATCTTTTGGCTGTAGTAATACTAGGTATAACTAATATAGTTCTATGTTACATTGACATTTTTGTTTTTGACACCTTTCATAGGTATATTGTAAATCAGTTTCCAGCTGTTCTCCGTGCGTAGAGGTTTTCTCCCCGGCTCTGGAACTCAAAACTTTTTGCAATGTATGTTACCTGAAGTCATATTTAATTTAATAATGAACATCACAGTTTTTTAACAACAAGATGTATAATCTTTGATAACTATAAGTAAATTAAAGGGTTATACCCATGTATTTTTGGTGGCTCAGGCATTTTAACCTAGTAAGTATAGCCATTTTGCTTTTTTAACCATAGTCAAAATTTCATAATCACGTTTGTTTTAACTAAATGGTTTGTACTTATTTTAGGCAGATTTTAAACCTGATGATGGACTGTTTAGTCCGAAAACGTTTGTTTTTTTGATGTAGCCCTTTTAAGGGTTTTTAAATAAATATACCCACTTACAAAGACTAACCTCTTTTTTTTTTTTCAACATAATTATCATAATACGTTTTACATATAGGGGAGAGTGGGGCTCTTTCAGGCATAAAAATTTGAACTGTCATATCACTCTAAATACCTCACCAAATAAAGAAAGAAAATATTCATAAAATACATTGTTCATTCAACTTTCAGTGTATGTATGCTTTTCATATTAAACCCTATACTTTTCATATTAATAAAAAATCAAAACCACTTTTTCAAAAACTTCTGAAGGTGCCACCACTTGGGGGCAACTTCACGGGCGAGGAATTGGACGAGGAATGAGGCAGCTTCATACACACTTGGAAAAATCACATCCTCATATAAATGTTTTAGAAATTATTTATTACAATATTTAAAACTATATTATGAACCTCTAATGCATATTGAAGTTTTCCAATGAAACTGAAAAAGACAATCATGATTTCTGTCGCTTTGTACCCTGCTCATAACGAGTTGGCAAAAGGGCTACAATTTCTGATAAAGAAGCACTAGAGATAGCTGGTACGATGGGGTAGACGTGTCATTTTATTCGGATATGCTCTGTTTGAGTACGAGAAACACATTCGCTAAGGATTTCTGCTTAGTTGTAAAAGACATGTCGTGGAATGCAAATTTTAGATTCCCCATGTCCCTTTTAACATCTTTTATCAACGTCTGTTTGCCTTGCAATTTTTAGAAGGCTCAGATTATAAGCAGAAATCGGAATTGTGTTTCGAAACTATTTTACGAATGATAACTTTGTCTTTTTTACCTTCTTATTAAAACTTTTTAAAATAATCGTTATTCTTTTGTAGTATTTGGGATTTTGCTGTTGGAAATTAGTAGAAACGGGTGGTATTCTTTTTCCGGGCATTCCGCAAATAGGTGTTTCCTACTACAACAATAAATACTACGCGTTGTCTTCTGCACAAGCCTTCGCATGCTTTTCCAAAAAACCTGATGAGTAAGTAACACAATTTTAATATATAATTTTAACAAGTAAAGTAATGTTATCACTTATTCTAGATATGTCAATCACGTTCTCAATTTGGCGAGACGAAAACCTCAACTGATTCATTTTCTTGGACTCCATGAAAGTTTATCGGCTATATCTGACGTAAAGAGGTATGATACTTATTTATAGAGCTATTATATTCATAGTTTATAAGCAGTAATATGCAATTTTTTTCTTTCTGATCTCAAAGCGATGCGGACGTGGGAGTGGATGTCATGTCCTGTGACTCCAATCGATCACTGATCCCTCTCTTTTTGATCGAAACCTTTATTTATAATCCGTGCTTTCACATGACTTGTTCTTTTATTTATACTTTTAGCTTTCTCTTCATTTAACAATCGTTTGAAGCAGGGGTCCCCAACCGGTGGTACGCTGGAGGATTTAAGGTGGTACGCTTCATGTGATCTCGTCCTACCAACTTGCTTCTCTGACGTCGCGATTGCTAGTTTGAATCCAGCACTGTGACTGTGAGCGTTTTCATTCGCTAGAAGGAAAATTCGGTCTACCTTATGACAAGTTTCCATTCTTCTTGGTTTTTGCCTCGCTGCCCCTTCATCGGATTCACAATTTCTTTAGGTTTTTTCTCTACACCGGCTATCCATCCAAGTTTTCCACCATCAGCTGGTTCTTTCCTCGCCCACTGTCTGTGCGTGGCCAGCACATCTTATTCGCTCTTTCTTTAGTTCAGTATCCAAGACTGGGTTTCCAAATAGCAACTGCAGTTCCTGTATTCTTCTTAACCTCCAAATTATGTCGTCTCTAATTGGTCCATAAATATTTCTGAATATTGTTCTCCCCCACCCGCTTCTGAGCGTTCTTCATCTTTGAAGAACAAAGTAGATGTCTCGCTTCTAGCTACCATACATTACTACTGGATAGCTCATGCACGGCTACAAGATATTCTTTGTGTTCCTACTGACAACTATGTAAGGTAGGTGTAGGTAATATGGCCATGTACAGTAATATGGTCATCCAACAAATTTCTTACTATTTTTATGTTTAAACGGTAGAACTCTTGATATTAGCATAGTAATACACATTTAGTGCCGAAATTGTTAAACAGATGGTGCCACATTCTCTATACGTCAGAACCATACACATTGTTGAGAAAACTCGTCATTGCAGAAGCTGGTTATTAATTTCGTAATTTTAAAAAAAATCTTAACTGAATCTAATAGGTAAGTTTTTAATATATTAATTGTACTTACATGTTTCGTATACCTTCAAAATCATGTACATGTTCTTATTTTATTGTATAAATTTTGATTTAATACATTTTTTTCTTAGACAAAGTATCAAAATACAGTGTTGAGTAATATAGCCAGGTACAAAGTAGGGTTATATGGCCATGGCCATATTTATCTTACGTAGCCATATTACTCTACAATGCATATTTTGTTTGCTGTATTGATATTATTTCTTTTATTACAGAAATAAAAAATGCCCCAGTATCAGCGCAAGGGCCTACGAGGCAACTGGACGGAAGAAAATTTGTCAGCAGCTTTAAGAGCAGTGGAATATGGTACCGCAGTTAACACAGCTAGTCTTACATATCATATCCCAAGGCGGACACTTCGACGATAT